CCGTCCGATACCAGCCCTCCCCGTCCACCGCCGCCTCCCAGGCCTTCGGGTTATTGAGGTAACCGGCGATCAGATTGACTCCGCGAACGCATATCTCTCCGTCGGTATTAGGGCCCAGACTTTCACCGGTAGTCAAGTCGATGACCTTAGCTTCGGTTCCCGGTAGTACTTGTCCGCAGTTACCCGGGATATACTCGCCCACTCCCATACTCCCACTCAGGGGAACGTACTCGGTCATACCATATCCTGAAAATAATTTTAATAATTTGAAATTTATAATACACTGTAACATAGTTTAAAATTATGTTGCTACTTAATATTATGTTATCTATATTAATTTTTGGTTTTTATTAAATACATCCATCAAATATTTATTTTAATTATTAAATATTAATTAATTCTGTATTTATTCTATTATTTTAGTACTGTAGCTTAATTATCATCTAAATTTTAGATCCTAAAACGTTTACCTAGTTAATTAGTTTTCGTATTGAATATAATTTTTGCATATACAGTAATACATTACTTATTTACAAGAGATAATTTTAAATTTAAGCTAGTCATTTTACCTAAACTTATCTGCTAGATAAATATAATAAAAATATAATTTATATCGTATACATAGCTTGAAATTAATTTCAAATTAATTAATTTATTATTAAATACAGTATATTATTAGCGCTAAACTGTAATCTAGTATAAATCATTTATTCTAAGAATTTAATTTATTTTTATATTTTTAATTGGTCTAGGTTTTGGTCCCAAATATTATAAAATAATTAGTTTTATAGATTTTAAAAAAATATTTTTATAATCATGGTAAAATTAAAACTTTAACTAACCTTCCATGAACATCAGCTTATATTTATCAATAAACACTTGGGCACAGTTAGGCGGAAATGCGGCCCCACCACTCATAATCGCTTTCAAACTGGACAGGTCGTATTTATCCAATAGACCCTGATCAACCAACTGTTTAGCAGTATATGGGAAAATGCCCAGGGTCTGAATGCCATACTTTTCAATTGATTTAGCAATGTGTTCAGCATTTGAATCGTCAAATAATATAATTTTACCGCCACTTGATATTATTAGGGACACGTGAAATGACCCGGACATGTGTCCCATAGGAAATATCAATGCCGAGGTCAGACCTTTTGTCCTACCTGTCCTATCAATATTATTCAATACAATACGATGTGGGACCATGGCACATTTAGGGGCACCGGTAGTGCCAGACGTGTGTATGAGTAATAGCATGTCTTTCTCGGGATTTACATCGAAGTGCGGTATTTGTGACAATTTCCGACCCTTTCCCTCATCCCGGAGCTCCTCATAAGTCACGTGCTTATCGTGTTTACCGTCGAAAAGGACCACAAGTTTCACCGGATTTTTGTTGTTATTTCGCGAGTCATCCAAAACCCACTCAAACTTATGAAAGTCTTGAGCGGATGTCATGACTACGTCAGCGCCGGCAGCCCTCACCTCCTGTTCCACTTCGTACTTCTCAAACGTGGGACTTAAGGGCTTATCATACTAAACTTTTATTTATTTATAAGGTCGTCCAATAGACCACATGGAAACTAAAATTGTAGATCCAAGGACAGGTAAAACTGTATTAATTGGTGAGACAGGTGAGTGAGAGAGAGAGAGAGAGAGAGAGAGAGAGAATTGACAATTTATTTCCATGTACCTAATTTACTAAATAATTAATAATGATTTTAAAATGTACCCAGTTTCATATCTGATGAACACATGCCAATTGTGCTTATCAAACCAAACGTATGAAAAAATGGTATAGGTACACATAATGTTTTGTCCGATTTATCGAGGTCATAAGAGTTGGCACCAATTCTAGCGTTATTGGCTTGCGTATAAAATTGCCATGTTAAATCTATTAGCTAGTAAATAAATAAATATTTTATAAGTTGTTTGTACCCAGTGTAAAATGTGATAAATATGCGCCCTTTGGTTTGCCTGTAGTACCCTGTTAAAAGTTAAATTAAATTTACAACGTAAAATTATAGACAGTATAATGATTTTGCATACAGATGTGTACATGATAATAGCCGGGTCATCTGGTATTACACAGTCTATTACACTATCGTCGATCACTCCATTATTATTTGTCAAATCAGTCATTAAATGTCTAGAAATATTAAATTTATCGCCTATTATTTGACCTGGTTCACCATTGATTGTAATAAGTTTTGTTAGAAGTAGTTGATCAGGCTCATTCTAAATTACAAAATTTACCAGTCCAATAAATATTATATTTTAACAATAATAGTAACCTATCCCACTTTATAATACACATTCATAATTATTAATTCTATTTATTAATTCTTGTATTATTAATACAGTATTAATTTGAAAAAAATATTACCCTACAGTTCGTTTTGTACCATGAAGTACATCAAACGTAAACGACTTGGCAAAGGTGGTTTCGGTACGGTGTATAGCATGCACAGGTCGAGTGACTCGCAGGATTTCGCATTGAAGCTAATACCTATCGAAAATACAAACACCGAAAAGCACACTATTGACCGCCAAGTACGTACGCTAATGGGCTTATCGCACGATAATATTATTAAGTGCTATAGCTACAAATTCTTAAATTTCGGAGATAACGGTTACTTTAAAATACCATAGTCATTTGTCAAACCCAACAAGCGCACTGTATTATCTGTACGATTAGAGTTGTGCGATTACGATTTGGCCTACAAGCTAAATGAGAGAAAGCACCATGACAAATGGCTCAAACGGATTTTCAAGCAAATTGTATCAGGCGTCCGATACCTACACAAACGCAATATAATGCATCGCGATTTAAAGCCGGCAAACGTGCTCTTGAAAAATGACGTTGCTAAACTCACCGATTTCGGACTCGCAAAGGGAGGCGCGTGCAGTATCGACCCGCTTGCCTACCACACCCGTTGCGGTACACGTAAATACATTGCGCCCGAGGTGAAGAAAGGTCATTACGATGAGCACCCTGACATACATAGCCTAGGCATCATGCTGGCTGAAATGTGCATGACAAAACAAGTTTTTCACGCTTGGGATGGAAAGATAAGATCTTTACGCCCCAACCAATTTGTTTACAGTGATAATAAATTTTCGACGTATTATGCTATTACTAGAATGATCTGTCTCAATCCCGTAGATAGGATGAACCTCAAAGCACTTAAATTGGTTTTTAAAAATTATTAGTTTTTCATACGATTGTATTTGCTTTTATAGATTTGTTTTGAAGTTCAAAGTTTGAACGTACCAATCTTGTGTTTAATCTTTGAAATACATTAACATGTTGCTTTAAATATTTTGTTACTTAAAAGTTAAGTCATTAAAACAGTCTCATTAATCTTATTATTAAATAGTAGATGGATCATTTTTATAAAATTTAAGGAATCTAAAATAAAATAATAAATGAAAAATTTATTCGCCTATATTTCTAACAAAATAATAAGCTTAACTACCTTATTTTTAAAAAATTTTAAATAAAAAATTGCAATAAAATTTAAATAAAATTTTAACAAATATTATTTCAATTCTTATAATTCAATCAAGTATTTCGTCCTTGACAAGATTTCTATAGTATTTTCGGTCCACTTTCCCAATACTAGTCCTATTGATATGATCGACGAATACGACACCACCGGTCAGTCGCTTAGTATACGCCAGAGTGTCTGTCCATTAGAGATACAGTATTAGCAATCAATATATATAACATGCTAAATTAAAAAATTTTAATTACCAGACACAAATTTCTTCAACTCCTCGGCACTTACTGTATGCCCCTCTTTGACTTTAACATAAGCCCGGGGTCTATGAGTGCCGGCCCTGTTGTTGACGCCAACCACCGCCACCTCAGCGACGGCCGGGTGGGTCAGTACGTACTGCTCGATCTCCACGGGACTGATGTTTATGTAGTGATTATCGACACCTATTCGCACGACTTCTTTGAGGCGATCCGTTATAAACAGCCGTTCCTTCTCGTCGTAGTGACCGATATCGCCCGTCCGATACCAGCCCTCCCCGTCCACCGCCGCCTCCCAGGCCTTCGGGTTATTGAGGTAACCGGCGATCAGATTGACTCCGCGAACGCATATCTCTCCGTCGGTATTAGGGCCCAGACTTTCACCGGTAGTCAAGTCGACGACTTTAACCTCCGTTCCCGCACTGACTTGTCCACAGTTACCCGGTATGTACTCTCCCTGTTCCCGGTTTCTAGCTAGGGCAGGGTACTCGGTCATACCGTAACCTAAAATATTTAGCCCAATATACATTTAATTTGATTATATTTATACCTAATTATTAATTATACATGGCGTGATAATTATATGCTGGCTACTTTTTTTGTAAGATTCTTAATATTAGTAATAAGTTTTACTTAAATTCAATGAATGAATTAAAAATAATTTTAAAATTATAAACATTTTATGTAAGCAGTCTTAATTTAATTAATTTATATTTTAGTTTAAATTTACCTTCACTAAATAACAATTTGAATTTATCGGTAAATNGACCCTTTCCCTCATCCCGGAGCTCCTCATAAGTCACGTGCTTATCGTGTTTGCCGTCGAAAAGGACCACAAGTTTCACCGGATTTTTGTTGTTATTTCGCGAGTCATCCAAAACCCACTCAAACTTATGAAAGTCTTGAGCGGATGTCATGACTACGTCAGCGCCGGCAGCCCTCACCTCCTGTTCCACTTCGTACTTCTCAAACGTGGGACTTAAGGGCATGAATGTCACGCCCAGGAATAGGGTCGCCATACGGAGTACAACGTGTTGTATAGTGTTTGGCCCATAAAATGCAATTAACGACTGTTTGGTGACCCCTCTGTCGAGTAGAGCATTGGCTATACTATGCGCCGATTCTATGAGTTCCTCAACCGTTATGGACACCCCTGTAGACGCCTCCACCTAAACATAAATTATAAAATTATTTAAAAATAACAATTTTTATTTTAATATATATCAAAAAAATATTAACAAATATAAAAATAATATTTATTTATATTACACAATAGTAATTTTTATTAAATTTATTATAAAGGTATTATAAATATACAAACTGTAATATTTTACTTTATTGACAAATAATAATGGTTGCTAAACTGGTATCATAAGTAATAGTCTATTATTATCAAAGTTTTGATAATTTAAAAATAAATACTTATAGACTCTATAATATAGAGTAACAATAAAAACATTAAAAACATATCAAACATTAAATAAAATAGTCATTTTCAATAAACTGTAAACTACCAAGTGGTATTTAATACCAATATCTTAATTTATAATTATTTATTGAAATGTTAAACTTTTGCACTTATATATCGTATAAATATTTAAATATAAAGTGCAAAAGTTTAAGTTTAGATCATTTTAAATGATACAGGCAATAGTTTAAATAATTTTAAAATTTTCATTTTATGATAGCTTAAAATACAATATATAAGAGATTAGTTTTAAATATTAATTCATTTTATGCTTTATAAATTAAATACTGTATTACTTATAAGTTATCATTATATTTAAAATTATTGCCACAATATTATAACTGTATTAATTGTATACTAACCAGGCAAGTGTGATCCGGGTCCAATTGTTGTAGATTTTTCCAAATAAATTCGCCAACCGTATTAAATTCATTTACTGGAGCTGGCTTGTCTGACTGCAATATTTTGTCCTGGATCATTGTAATTATTTAATTTAAAAGTACAAACTTTCAAGTGTTGATACAAAATGAAATTATTTGATTTGAAAATTTTCTAAACTATTTATCCCTTTTGAAACAGTTGTACGGTATCATATTATTTAAATGTTTGCTTAACACTAGTCACTTTCTAATATAAATAGTTATTTTATCATTAATAAATAGTTTATCTGATAAAAGTGTATACTAATAAAATAGTGTATTACACGATGCGCATACATTGTAATCCGGGACACATTAACAGTGACAAAACTGTGACTATTATAATATTAGTCAGTATTGAGATTAATGTTAAAATGTTTAAA